CATTTAGGATGTGCAACTGATCTCTATATACACGTCCTTCCTACAAAAAAGCACAACCCAACCTATCTACAAACTTAGTCCTACACATAGTTCTTATTTCTTTTTTTTTTTTAATGTGGCTATAAAAATTTCCACATTGTTCATGCTCCCCCTCCCCTAATTAAATAACTACTTCCTACTAGTGATCACATGCACAGAGAGGTTCATAAAAAATGCCACATACAAAAAAGAGCGCAGCTTTTCCCATCTAAAATGTTTTCTTACTTTCCCAGTATGCATTTCTGACATAGCTCCACTGAACATGGCATTAGGGAAATCCTCCACTGCCCAGTAAGATCAGCATTAACACCCCTTTGTGCTCTCAGAGCAATACAGAGGAACATAAACCAGAAACTCATCCATGAATTACAAACAGTGTTAACCTTAGTGTCCACCGCAAGTTCTAAACAGAACAAATTGCACCCACAAACAGTGACAACCATTTATTTCTTACATAGCACTTCTAGTTAAATCTCGAAGTGTTTTATGAAACATCTTTTTCCCCATTCTCACCCCAAAATAACCATTTGACCAAGTGCTTCCAGATAGCAAAGGACACTTAATTGGCCACACTTGTGGGGAGCACAAGATTCTGCAAATTGGATGAGGAGTCTATTCCTTTCATTCTGTAACTTACAGAGTATTTGTATGCACTATTTAGGAGAAAGCAGACATTAAACCCACTAAAAAACTTCATGTTTTGAATATTTACAGGGAAACATCACCTTTCAAACGCACTTCTCTCCTGCCCCAGGCACGGTATTGCAGATCGATTCCCAAAGCTAGGTGAGCAATGCAATTTGCTAAAATGACAACTGAAATGTAATCACACAAGTGTAATGCACCATGACTGTACCAGCAGCCTGGCATTTGGCAAGTTTACTAAAACCTTAATAACAATGCATTATTACATTTGCTATGCTTCCCCTAATTCATTATGGAAGCAGCCTTTAGGAATAGAAATTGAACTTTTGAAACTGATTAGACTGTTTTGCATTTAATAGCACAGAAATTGTGTGGACCACGCGGGTTAGCTGCTATTCCAGAGATATGTCAAACTCATTCAGCAATCATAAGGCTTTTATTTCTATCGCACACAGCATTCTCCGGTAGTTCGGCTCAGGTCAGGAGTACCACCTAACATCTAATATTTATGTCATAAAGTAAAGCCAAATTAAAAAAACATCAGTTTTGGAAACATATTGCCCTGATCTCCAGTCTCACTTGTATCACCATTTTTGTGTTTCACACTCTAAGAGATAAAACAAGGAGTCCTGTGAGAACAAGCAAGAGCTCAGGATCAGATAATTCTTCACTGTAGTACCAGCTTCACTGTTTTCTATATGCAATTAGCTAAGATAAATCACTTCTATGATTTTGTTGAAATTTCACACTGTCTGAATAAGAAGTTCCAAGATATTTCTTAAGTTTCTTCTAAACCTAATCTAAATCATAAATAAGTTTTCTCTTTTTATTTAATTTCATTTGTTTTTAATAAAAAAAGACTAAAGCACAGCATTTCTTAGCTGCATACGTGAGACCTGGGTAACCAATCTGTGGTCATTTGATGAACCCAATTCAGAAAGCATTAGGAATGCCACCGAATCTGTGTGGTCTGGCCAGACCAGCTTCCCTATTCTGGGGATACTGGTAAGACAACCACCACTAATGTTTTCCTGCTCTTCCCAGAGCGATAAGGAATTATGACTGACCTTCACATGGCTGGCAGCAAGAAGGTTCCCTGCATTCTAAATTCTGCCTTGCAATACTTTTTTTCAGTCTTCTGGGAAGTGAGGTATTAGATTGGAAACTGACAGATCTTTAACTGGAGCAGTAACAAATAACATCAGTGTAATTTCTCTCTTGAAAGAAATTGCTCCATTTTCTTCTCCAGTTTCCAGCTTAAAACCTTTCATTGCTGATGCTGTTGTCAGTCTTATCTGGTGATCTATTTACCTAAAGCACACAATTACAGTATAGATTTTTATGACAAGTACAGAGCAGGCTTTGACACTAATAACACTGAAGATTTTGTGGACTTGGATTGTTTTTAGGGCTTGGTCAGGAAAGCCAACTTTCTCCCACGTAAAAAGTCAACAAGTCACCACAGAGGTTTTACAAATTAATTTGTCATAGCAATTAAGGGAAAGAAGCTATATAAACATGATAAAAGATGACTAACATCACCATGCATTGTTACATTAAAGAATAATAAAAAAGACCTTTAACACGTTGCTCTGAACACTTACAAAAAAAAAAATCAAAAATACTGTCTGGAAAGCTACACTCTTTGACTGTTAACGAATCAGCGCTGTCTGCAATGCATGCCCGACCTTTGAGAATGGGGGGAAAAAACATCTCAGACAAAACTAACTTGCAATTATTTGTAAGGGAAGCTTGAAGGGTTCCATCATGCTATGTAGGCACAGACACCTACTGACAATGCAGAACCAGGCAGCCACCAGAACCAGGCCAGGGAATTTTGATAGGCAAGAACTTAAAAACTGTCGGGAAGCTGCTTGGTGTAGCTGCTCTGGTTAAAATGCATGGCCCTTTCAACTTCTCAGGATACTTCTCCACTTGCTGAGCTTCCCCCCTCCCTTTGTGGTACCACTAGAAGTTTGGAAGGGGGTTATTTTGTTCCATCAGGCTGCACGGGAAAGAAATTCTTTCACTGCACGGACCCAGCTTTACTTAGTACTTGTATTGTAAAACAGATGCTGTACTCCCTGTGTGACCACAGGACAGCAGAGTTTCCAATGCAACAGTCAGAACTTTCAAATACCAGGCTTCAGCTGTCGAATTTACTTAATACAGACACAAAAAGCATCAATGAACATATCGCTTTTCTAAACACATTTGTTGTCATCACATATATGTATAGAAAGGATTTTAAACATGCAATTACTACATATCCAACGTCCACATTATTTTGTGTAACTACCCCAGCATACTTATTACGCAAATGTTTTTAGCTCTTAAGATCTTGTTTTTGATAATACCAGCTTACAAAGTGTAATCTGCTGGCAGATATTAGCACACCCAAGTCCCATTGAACCCACAGGCCTTTTATCATCTTGCAGTTTACGAAAAAAAATTTATTCACCACTGCAAATCATCAGCTGTAGTTCTTGCTGAGGAAAACATTAACTCAGAAAGCAGAGATGAGTACAAATGCAATAATTAAGGAGAGCATGTTTCTTAACACTAGGAATATTATGCTCTCAGACACCTGTAATTAGACACATCCAGTAGACCTACAATCTTCTCAAGGTGTTCTGAATAGCACAGAGACTGCTGGGGTGGGTGGCAATGGGGGTAAAAAACCCATAACCTGTGTTTTTGCTATATATGAAGTATTTTTCAAATAGGCAGTAGGAATACGTTGTTTGTTTGTTTTAGTATCTTTGAAAAAACACACTTAAATAGGTATCTGCAGAGTAGCTTCAGTAGTGAGACTTGGTGTATGAACAGCATGAAATTCAGGGCTTTCCTCAGTCTGTCCTGATGGAGGGAAGCCAAAAACTGGTCAGATTCAGTACCAAGAAAGCGTTTAGATTTTCTGACACAGTAACCAATTCCCTTTAGGGGAAAATAAAATAGTTAGTCTAGAAATATCAGGCTATCTAGTGCTTTTAGACATGCTCTCCACAAAAAGGAAGGATGTGCAATTATATCCCCCAACAGCTTCAGCTTCATGCATCTAAAGCACAAACCACACAACTACACATCTAGTGGCGTAACTGGGACACTAAGCCTAACCCTAATTATGACCCTAAAATACATGTACGGCGCTACTTTCTCCCATCAAAAAGTGCTCCCCACAGAAGCCTTTGGGTACACCTCAACTCCCTTTGGGAGCCTTTACGCACACAACACAACAGCATCTTCTCACCTGTTCCTGCCTACACTAAATAACAACCATACTGCTTCTGTAGCAGCTGCCAGAGAGTATCCCTTGGGCACCCCATTAGAAGGCACAGGCTCAAAGTCGCAGGGACCGAATGTGCAGATTGTGGGCTGCAGAGCCAGGAGTTACTCCTCTCTGTGCACAGAGACCACAAGGAAAACTGCTCTCTACCCAAAGGAGCACAGAAAACTCAGGTTGCTCCAGATGTCCTTGCATGAAGCAATGGCAGAATGGAAAGAAAATGGCATAATGCTCCAGTCTCATCTCAAGGATCAGCAGCTTGGTCCTTGTCCTTGGGGTTTAACAATTCCAGCTGCATTTAAAAGCAACTTGAGATAGAAAAAGACCCAGGGAGTTCACAGGTATGTAGCACCATGGAGACCAGGAGAAAATAACAATGTTCACAAACACAGGCACTCCAAGCTAATCCTGTTAGACCTTCCAGAAACTGAAATATGGACACAAAATAAAAAAGAAAATAATTAATCCACCACCACCAAAGCCATCCGTACCTACACGAATTGTCTCACAAACACATTACTCTTCATACCCTTCTTATGCTCAACTTTGAGCTTTGTGCCCTCCCCTTAACCACCACCATTTCTCATCCCTGCCTTACCCCCTGTTATCGTCATGCCCTCAGCACGATTCCTCTCCTTCAAGGACCTCTCAAGATAGATCTCGTACCTTGCCCCGAGTATTCTCCTTTAAGTATGCTCATTATCCTACGCTTTCCTTTTCATTCATTAATCTGCTATCATCTTTGCTCCATTTTAATTGCTCTCATGAAGAACTTTAGAAAAATTACAAAAATCAGTTCCCAAAATCATAATACACGTGTCAAAGAGGTTACACTTTACCTACAAAGACCCTACTTCCATCAAATATAAAAGCAGATTACAATTACTGACAGAAAGGCATGGAATATTTCAAACACTTCATTAAACAGAAATAGTCATTCTTCTCCCAGGAAGTAGGGGTATGCAAAGCACTTAGGAGAAAAGCCTCCTTGATTTTTTATTTTAAACACAAACAGGAAAGTTGTGCCTACCTGCACGAGCTGTCCCAAGGAGTAGAGGGTGAGTTTCTTTGGGTCTGTGTATAGAATCTCACCAAGCTCCCGGTATGGCTTCCCCATGGGGGTGAAGTGTCCCTGCGTGAATTGCTTTTGCCTCCTGTGGTAGTTTTCCCAGAACACTTGTTTTCTTGAAGGCTCACTGCTTCTGTAAATCGTCCTGCTTCTGGCCAAGACCTTCCCTTCCTTCTGAGCAACGCCAGGCAAAGCCTGAACGCGCACAAAATCCTGAGGGTTCAACACCCTAGTGGCTGCCAGCACCTTAACCCCACCGGTTTTAGCAGAGTCTGGCAACAAAGGTGCCTTGGGCCTGCCACTTTTACCTGTGCTGGTGGCCACAGGTGCCTCAACTTTGCTGCTCTGAGGCGCACCTGGTGCTGGCATTGCTCCTGAAGGGGGATCGCTGTGTTTTACCTCCCTATGCTATCGATAATTCCACTTTTCCAGTCATGAAAACAAACACCTGCTGCCCAAACCTCCAAGCAAGCTTTCTGCTTATCCTCCTGAGGTGTAACCCCGCAGCAGCCATCGACTAACACCCCTTTACCCCTCACTCCCCCTCACCCTGCGGAACGAACCCTGACCCTCAGGGGACCCCAAAACCCAACCTGCCTCCTGGGGAGCACCCAACGCACCCCTCTGAAGAGCTCCACCTCACGGAAACTTTATTTTCCACCGTTTTCAGCCTCCCCCTGCCCACAACCCCTCACGCAGCGAGCCCCTCACCCCTAACCCCTGTGGGGGAGCCGCCTGAGGACCGGACCCCCCCCTCAGCCCCGCCACCCCCTGAGGGAGCCCTGAGGCGGCGCCGCTGCCGCGAGGAGCCGCGCGCCCGCCGTCACCCGGGAAACGCCGCGCGCACAGCGCCCCCCCCCTCCCGCCGTGCACGCGCCCGAGCAGCAAACGTTGCACGGGGCCGTGCACAAGGGGCCATGCAGCGAAGCCGTTGCATGGCTGAGGAACAAGCTTTGCACCAAGGAGTTTCTCCTTGGCCGCAGCACGATCGTGGCTGTTTGCAGCTGAGAAGAAACACCCCCACGCCTGGTAGCTGCCACAGCTGTGAGAAATACCACAACAAGGTTCTGACAACTATGGAAGTGGGGTTTGGAAGCAGCATTAATGCCTAAAAACGTGCTTCTGCACCAACACGACGATGCTCCTGCATCTGAAAAAAAAAGATGCTTGATTGCTCTTGCAGGCTGCAGTGCTGTTGTGCTTTGGGGTTGTGCCTAATGTGTGCCCCACTTTGTGCTGCTGCCCAGTGCATGCTTGTTTTTTATTAAAACAACAACAACAACAAAATAGCCTCAAAACCTTGAAAATTTGTGGTTTGGGGGTCAGCACATGAAGGCATTTCCACAGCAGGTGCTGGGTGCAGCCTTTGCCTGGCTCTCGGGCAAATTTCTCTCCCACCCTGTTCATTGCCAGCTCCCATTCCACAAGGCATTTGGGGACAGACAGGTATGCATTTATTCCTCTTTTCCTTCCATGTCATTTCTCTGTCCAACTTACAATTTTTGGTGGCAATTTAACAGCTTTTACCAATTACAGCCCTATCTTCTTCTCTGTTGCTGCTGCAGAGGAGGAGGTTACGCTCGTCACCGCTGTCCTCAGTGTTTGCTGTCACCGCCTGTAAGGCTATTTCTTTTCATTTTGTCCTTAGCTTTTATTTTCCTACCCCTCAAGGACAGCCGTGGATACTCCAAGCTGTTCCTGAGCTCAGCAGCCCTTTGGTTTCGGCAGCTTTGTGGGAGCGGCCTCCTCCTTCAGTCCTCACCCTTTTCTCCACGTGTCCATTTTCTCCACATGATAGCTGCGTCCCAGCTCCCAGCCTTTGGGAGCACCAACCACCCAGCCCTCATGAACTCCCTGGTGCAGAAAATGAAGAGATTTGGGGCCTTCGGGGGTGCTTTGGGGGGCAGGCAGCTCTCGGCTCCTTGCAGTGAGGCCGATGCTGGCCTGGCTCATGAGCGCTGCGCCTCACAGGCTGAGGAACCTGAGGTGCTGTCAGATCTCGGTCTCACAGCATCTTCACTGCTCCCAAACCTCAAAGAAATCCTTCCAAAAAGAGATCCTTCCAAAAACAGCAGCCGCCCCCTCACCGGCACCGTCCTCCATTTTGTGCCCTGCAGCAGGCGCGGGGGGGGAGTTTACACGAGGCAGAAAATGGAGGTGGGCGTGAAGATGCCCTGAGGATTGGGAGGGGACCTCGAGCTCCTGCAGAGCTGCCCAAACCTCACCCCATCGCAAAAGGAAAAGTGCCGGTGGTGGGCACACAGTTTGAGGACGAATTAGGATTATTTGAGGATGGGTTTGGATTATTTGAGGATGGATTCAGAGCCAGCTCTGCGGCTCTCAGGGGGTTGGTGGCCAAATGCCACAGCCCCACGCCGGGGAAAATCCTACACGACCTTTAAGGTCCTTTGAGCTTCAGTGTACCCGAGTAGAATTCAAGCAGCGCATTTCCCCCCCCCTGCCATCTGGGTGCCACTTTAAAAGACATTTTCTCATATCATTGCAATTTCAGGAAATCGCACTGGATGGCTATGGAAATGTGAGATGCTTCCCCCTAAATTGTGCGGCAGCGTGAAGCATTTTAAGCCCCAGCTGCCGCTTATGAGATATTTTGACAGCTCACAGACGGCTTCCGAGAATTCCCCAGCCCCAGCACCACCACGCAGGCTGGTGGTGAGCCTGGCTTCGAGCAGTGCGGTCTCACTCAGCAAAGCCCTGTGCTTGGCTTTGTGGCGATTTCTGCTCATTTTATGCTTGTTTAGCTTTGGGAAGGAGGAAAATACTCCCTAGCAGAGCTCTGAACCCACTGCGAACCTGCTTTGAACCTGCTTTCCTAACTAGGTGAAGCTGCAGGCACGCACGTGTACATGTCAATGACTTGTACTGCCCGTCGATGCTCAGGCATTGATTTCCACCTAAAGGAAGCACCCGAGGGATGAATTGAGAGCTAACTGCAGGTCAGGGGGTTGCCTTCAAGCTCAGCAGCTGCATAAATAATGCAAGCCCGACCCCAAGCCAGTTCACCCAAACAGCTCCTGGACCACACGAGCAGATCTTTGGCCATCAAACCCCGCTGGGGGCCAGCCCTGCTGCCCCATGCTCATCACTTCGTGTGGGCCCCAGTCCCCCCCAGCAGGACATTTCCCTCCTCCCTCGCTGGGAGCCATTCCTGCTGTTTTTTCCCCCAAAGCTAGCTCCTGATCACCGAGCAGGGATCAAAATGCCGAGCACGCCTCCCCGCAACTTGCGCTGATTTTCGGAAATTGCAGCCAATCAGCGTCGCTGCAAATTGGCCGCTTTTTTTGGCTCAGGCTTGATGCAAAGAGGAAAACAAATGGAGTTTTAAAATGCAGCTAATCAAGCTGTTAAAGAGAGGTTAATCCTAACGAATTAATCAGATCGCAAGGGGTCGGGAGAGGAAGGAGCAGGAGAGCCACCGGGCTTGGCTGTTCCTCAGGGCAATGCCACGTTTCAGCAAGGGCATGGAGAAGGTGGTGATGCTCCTAGGGGGACAATGGAGAGCTCCAGGCTTTTCCCCATCTCCTGCAGCCAAATCCCATCCTCCTGCTGCCCATTGATCCTGGCCACCAGCTCAGCCAGGGTGTTCCTTGTGGGCAGAGCCCCCACAGGCAGCTCAGTGTGCTCGGGCATGAGGACTCAAAAATAACGAGTGGCAGTGAAAGGAAGGAGGTTTAAAGAGGGATATTAATGATATACACCGCTGTATACAACAGCATAATCAGAAAAAAATGTATTACACCCATTAAGTACCATTATCAATGCCTGGAGCTAATCGTTTCGACTTAATGAAACTAATTCATTTCCCTGTGCTGGAGCGACGTCCCTTCCTAGCACAAGTGGCAGTGATGCCACCAGCCCTGGTGCCCCGGCCACAGCCAGCACCGTGGGGCACCATGGTGCTGCTGCCCCATGCTCCCTGGCACCCTTGGTGTTAACTGTGGTGAGGAGCATGATGAGATCTCCAAAACTTCTCCTGGGAGGTGCAGGAACCCTAAGGTGCCCCCCAGCACCCATCTCAGGGTGCACATCCCACACCTCTTTCCAGACCAGAGGAGAAGTGACTTCAAGCCAACGTGGTCTCACTGCCACCAACTAAAAACCCCCAAAACCCATAGGCCCAGCTTTGTGTCACCTTTCACTCCATCCCAGCAGCAGAAACACTGCAGCCTTCCCACGAGGCCAGGTCTTTGCTCCAGAGAGGAGCCTGGGGTCAGCACCAGCCTAGGAAAAGCACTCACTTGCACCTTGCTTTACCTTCACGCTGGAGATGGTTTAGCTTGATTTATTCCAATTAGTTGTGATTTTTTTTGTTCTAATGAGCTCTTCTGCAGGCTTTCTGTGCTTCATGACCACCCTCCTCAGCTGATGTAATGTGTTTCAAGGAGATTGCTTAATAAGGAGAGATCTCCAAGGCTGCCTCGGACAGGGGGCTTTTTGTTGCAAGATGAAAGAGGAAAAGGGAGAGGGAATTGGGCTCCTTCGGGGAGGGGGGGGGGGGGGCAGGGTTGCTGCAGAGCATCTGTCTGCTACACCAAATGGCAGGACAGCCCTTAGTTATCTGTGCTGTTTCCAGAAGTCTTCCCGCATGGGTACAGCACATTATTTGCTGGGGAAGGAAGCGGGGGTCCCTGGAAGGGGCTGGAGATGCTCCACAGGGTGGTAGCACAGGCTGGGAGCTGCTGCTGAAGTGCTCAGCCCCTGATTTAAGGCATGGAAAGGCAACTGGTTGTGTTATTTCTATGGCATCGGGTTCATTTTTATTATGGGAAAAGTAGGTATTTTTGCTTCTCTGTCCCAATGACCATCGTGTGCCAAAAGCACCTCTTTGGAGACATCAGGGAAAAAAAGGGAGATGAGATTTGCTCTGCAAGTAGAACAGGGATGCAGCAAAGCAAAGCCTCCAAAGGAGGAGGAACTCCAAATAGAAACATTAAAAAAAAAAAGTATGTAAAAACGATGTGGACTTCAGCAGAGGAAAACCAGAACCGTCATGGGATGGTCTCTGGGGAGAAAAGGAACGGATTCATGCTGAGTGAGCCTGGGTTTGTGTGAGAGCCAGCCGGAAGCACACTGAGGGATGCTCTGGGAAGGAAAAAACACCCGAGGAGCCGCATCGAGCCCTGCAGAGACCTGAGCAGGGCAGGGGGGAGCCAGGGGGGGACGAGGGGCACAGATCCCCCTCAGCCACAGGATGACGGGGGCCCTCCGAGGATGCCTGGTGCCTCCAGCCCTCCCCGGAGCTGCCTGTGCGCTGCTTACCCTGCCCCGCGTGCTGCCAGCCAAAAGCGATCAGTTCAGCTTTTTGCTTCCATTTTTGGGAAACGAATCCTCGGGGACACGCACGGAGCTCGCCTCATCCCCGGGGGGGGGAAATGTGGGACACCCCTCGGTGCTCCCTGCATGGGAGGCCCCGCGCCGGAGCGGGTGTTCAGCCACAAGGGGTAATACGCCGTGACACCATAAAATGCAGCCTAATTGCAACGAGGCCATAAAAACATAATGTAATTGGAGCGGCTATCGCAGTGTTTTGTTATGGGGCTGATGGTTTCACAGCCTCAGCTCACCCAGGGGCTGAGGACAGACAGAAAGCCCCGGGCACGGGGCCGAGCTGCTGGAATCACGCCGCG